TATATATATAACACACATATATATATATATATATATATATATATATATATATATATATATATCACGAAAGAGTTAGCTGCATAGCCGATACGCCATTTACAACTACTATTCCAACTTCGACAGGACGTGTTGTGTATATTAACTAAAATCTAGTTAACACTTTATATTTCCGAAATACTGAAAACTTCAATAATTGGTTCTGAACTTACCATTTTGTTTTTTTACGCTATCCAAATCCACTGGTCCTTCCCCGGTCAGCCATAGAAACATAAACAAACCACATAGTATTAGCAGGATATAGCGCAGCGAGGTGGGTTTGAGCGACATGCTGAGTAATTATACTGAATGTTTGTATGCCGGACTATAAATGTGTGTGTCGGAGAATAGTTTTGTGTGTAGGATTATGGGTATGTTTCCGGAGATCATGCGTCCTCCTTGTGTTGGCACTGAACGTCACTAATTAATGCCGGCTGATTACTGCCGCCTAATATCACAGCTACTGAAATCAATAGAACCACTCAGATTCGATTTTATGCTTGGAGAAGTGTCTGTATTCAAACAAGTTGCAGTAGCAGTGAGATCATCAACATCTCAAAGCTATTATAAAGTATTTGTCCTGATTATATAGTCCTTTTAAATTCGTACTGCATACATGTTGTTCCCAGATGAATTATAGGGTAGCAGAAAAAATATATGTGTTATAGATACATATGTGTGTATTTATATAAAGTACGCTTCTGCTTGCACATATAAATACATATGTTCATATCTCCCATCTATTTTAATTTGTTATTGTTTGAAATATCGCCCAGAGAAAGCAGAATGTCAGAAATAGTTCGAGGGCCATGTATGGTTGCCATCATTTTTGGCGCCGATTGCAATGCATTTTTTTTCTACAGCTTTTTCTTGACTTCGTCATTGTTTTCCAGAAAAACAAACGTCATGCAAATGGACTTCAGTCGGTGACGTAGTTATGTAAATATTTGGTTTTGTTTCTTTTTTGGTTTTGGTTTTTGGTTGTTTTTTTAAAAAAACAAACAAACAAACAAACCAAAATAGAGCTCAACACATTTACACAACGACAACAGAATCTCAAATTCAGATTCTCAACAGTCAACAACTCTATGTAGTACAGTTGATTTTTTTATTTAACTAAAATACTCTGTAAATATGTATTTATGTATTGTATCAGCTCTGAAGTATGTACAACGTACGCACAGGTTAAGTGGCGCTAGTGTTGGTACATATCATCTGGACACCGTGCAGTATGGGTGGGCCTATTTTATACAGCAGATACTACTCGGTATACCTACTCCTAGTATGCCTCTTGCAATACGTGTCCGGAGAGGCTAACCCAGTTCAGTGCTTTTCGGACGAGGATGTGGTGAATGCACGCAATGCCAAACGCGCTTTTGCTTTGCTAAGTGATAAGCGTTATCCCAAGCAATCTATTTTATTACTAGAAGAGCACCCTATATTATCTAGTAGTGGCTCTGCATTGCCATCTGTTGCTAGGAAAGTTTCAGACGCACTCGCACACGCATTGAGTGACTCAAGCTGGGCTATCATACCCATAGATCTCTCATCTCACTGGACTCCGGATGGCTTGAGGTTACACCTATTTACCGAAGTTGACAAAGTACAACAAAGAATCAAGCAAGAGAAGCACGCAGACAATCGAGACCCCTTGGTGGTAGTACAACTACACAACTTAGATGGAGTGGATGACATGTCGATCCTAAATGTATTTCACGACGCATTCGGGACACCTGCGCGTGTACAAACCCACGGAAAGGTGTCGGTATCGTTCGAAACCGTGCGCTTTGTGGGTGTGATGAATGTGAAGAACTGTGCTAAGAACAGTCGGAAAGTATTGAATCAAGAGGCAGATGATAGAGTACGTGCAACCATTCAAGATGCAAGCGTTCGTGATCGTTTAGGATTTGATAGTATTGTGTGGAAGCATTTTGCCCGGGGCGCGGGTGTACGTAAGTGGGAGGCTGTCTTACAGCAGGAATGTTTCGTTCACGACCGTGTGGACTTCAGTCCCAAAGCCCTACTCCGACGGGTAGGCGATGCGATTCTCTTTGATCCTGCTACTGAGGGGAACAAGAATGCCGGCTATATATACAAGCTCGGATCTACCCCATGCAGCTTAGGAGCGTACACGGATAGAAACACGGATACATCTGGCAATACACCATCGGCGGGTAAGGGTAGTATAATGGAGCCCAGTACCTTAGATTACCATTCCGTGTTTGGTGTGGGTTTAGTGGTGGTTTTGTGTTTGGTGTATGGCATTGTAATGCTATTCTATCGCGCAGAGCCCGAGACATGCGATCTCGACTGCACGAGTGATGAGTGCAATGTCGACGATATGCCGGAAAATTCTGATGGCGAAGAAGATGGAAGTGATGGGAACGATAGCTCTGATAAGTAGGTTCCCTCGGGAAAAGCAGTGATCGAGAAGGTTCTCACTATGGAGTGTCTGGCTCGTATGTTGGCCAATGAGCGTGTAATCAAGTGCCGAATCGACGGTGTAGCGACGAAGACACTGTTGAAGTGTCTGGCTTTATGGCTAGGGCTAGATTATAGTGTCGGAAGTTTGTTCAATGACTAGCAAACACCTCTGAGTGTGAGTACCATTCACCCTCACCCCTACGGGGTACGGGAGTCGCTACGGATCTAACCCTTCGGATCTACGATCCTGTACCCCTATGGGGTGACTCAGAGATGTAGGATCCCTTCCGGAGTTGCTTGAGAGAGAAAGTACGGATTTCGAGGGGGGATCTACAATCCCCTCGGGAACTACAATTTCGTTCCTCTCCACTAGATATCGTTTATCTATCCGCTACTCTTAATTATTATTTAAACTAGGGGTTTATTTTTAAATCTATAGACTAGGGGTAAGCATGAGTAAGGTATGGGAGATTTTTTAGATAGTAGAGTAGAGATACTAGTGAAAAGGGGTGTAGCCTTCTGAAACTGAAATGTAGTACTACAAATTTTATCCCAGTATAAATAGGTGTACAGATGGCAGCTACTACGAGGAAAGGTAGCGGACAGCCAGGCTTAGTGTCATTGGTGAGTGACTAAGTCTCATCGCGGGTCTCTTCTTGACTTAAGGGTTGTGGTTAGAGAGGTAGGGTGATGCTGCCTAGCAACTACTGTCCTTTGTGTAGGAGCTACCCCTGCAGAGTCGATTGTCCTATCATACTTTTATAGGAGGAGGACGGGCCTATGATCCAAAGGATGAAGGATGGTAGATCCCCCTAAGATTGGAGATCTTTCGGACCCCTTGGGCTAATCTGAGTGTTCAAGTCTCACAATAGCTTTCTATGACATAACACATCCTATTTTTATATATAAACCTTGCACCCTATGTATTCCGTGGGGATCCCTCAGGGAAGCCTGTACGGTCCCATGGTGGGGTGCAAAGCCTGCCCCTCCTACACTCCCTGGGTGTAATTCACCCCTGCCTCTATCTCTATTTTTTATTCTTCATGGGGCACAGGGTCTACGGTCCCTTCGGGATATGACCCTGCACCCCCACGGGGTGACTCAAGGGCAGGAGCCGCTGTACTTGTTGTCGAGACAATAGGGGCTCACCCCAGGAGATCTGAGATCAGATCTCTCCCTCGTGGCCAGCCTGTAAGGTGGTGGCTACCGGCTACGAGGCATCGCAGCGTGCATGGTGGAGGGTAGGGAGCCTCCTACGCTCCTTGAGTCACCCCTATGGGGTACGGATCCCGAAGAGATGTGACCGGGGTATCCTTGGGATCAGATTCATGGTGAAGGGCAGGAGCCTGCCCCTCATATAGGGGCTCTCTGAGTCACTCCGTAGAGGTACAGATCTACAATCCCTCGGGATATAAGAGGGCCCCGAGGATCTACGATTCCGCAAGGATGTAGGATCCCACACTGTGTCACTCTCTCGAGAGAGAGAGAGTACGGATCTCTGGTTTCCGAAAGGGGATCTACAATTCCAAGGGGTCACAGCATGATATAAAAAAGTCATATAGAAGAACTACAATGTAAATTACTATACATATATCTTAACAGGGTGACTAGCTAATTTTACTATTTTCTTATTTTATAAGGAAGCTCTTAAATTTTGCACTTGAGCCTTTTCCCAAAGCTTTATCTTGAACATCAAAAAGAGTAAATTCTCGATCTTGATTTACCACAACCGCCTCAAACGACTCGCTCTGTATTCTGGTCTAGACATCTGCTAGCTACCCTGGTCAGGAGCGTCTTCCATCCTGACCCTGACCGTTTTTCAGAATTTGTTATTCTAACTGAATTTTCAAGCCTTTGACCTGCGTTCAATTTAGATGGCTCTTTTAAAATCAAACACTGACAGTTTGACTGCCGAGATAGTGATTCACTCACCGTTTTATTTATAGCAATAAATATTGACCAAAAAAATGAATTGATGATATTCATAAAATTCTTTAGGGCCATTGAAAAAGCCATCAATTCGTCATCAAAAATCACAAAAATAACTGAATATAAATACACAATGGGCCATGGGGCGGGGACCTTCAGCCGTTCAGCGTAGGTGTACATATGAATCAGATTCCAGCGTTTCCAGTAATCGTGATCATAGACGTATATGCGAAGCGATAAGTATATATGCAACGTCAAAGAGTGCGTGAGTATTGTGAAGTAATAAGGCGTTAACACATATCACGAGTCAAAGAGCAATGGCTGGTGCCACGACGAAACTAATTGTCAAATGGGGCAAGGAAAAGTACACATTGGAAGATGTAGACTTACGCAAGGATGTGCGGTTTCTGAAGGACGATCTCCAGAAGCTTTCAGGTGTACACCCAGATCGGCAACGTATTCTTTTGAAAGGCAGAATCATTGCGGTATGCATATACATACACAAAACACACACACACACGTGTGTGTACACACACGAGCACATACACACTCATACGTGTACACACACACACATATATATATATATATATATATATATATATATATATATATATATATTATTATTTATTCTATTACTTACTACTTACTTACTTATAC